CATTGTTAAATGGCTCATGGAGATGCAAAGAAAAAGATCTAATGATGCTAAGAATCCCTCTGCTCGCAGAATGAATCCTATGTGGAATGTTGTGAATGAACCCGATTCATCCATTTGCTGAGCATGTATTGAGTGCTTACCTTGAGCAGTGCACGTCAAGATGGCTCGGCCCGCTCTTTCTCCCATTCTGTGTTCATTGGGTGTCAATTACTGCACCAGGGAAAACTCGTTGGGCACCGAAGAGAACCCACCATGGATTGTTTCCTGCAGGTTTAACATTCCCAAAGCAGAGAGGAAATGAGAACCTGTGCTTAGGAACTAGGCCCTTTCTATAACACAACCTTTGCCCTACTCTTCTGGGAACTTCCCATTTATCCTTCCAGACTTAGATTGAGTCCATGGCCTCTTGTGCCAAGTCTTCCCCATACCCCTTCCCTGGTTCTGCTTCCAGCCTGTGCAACACACATTTTATGTAAGTCTTGCTGTGCTATATATTTTAGGGTTTGTCACATGCCTGTTTTACGAGACCACGAGGTTCTTGAGGAAAGGATGATGTTTTTATCATTTGTTTGATGTATAGCACGAGACCCAGATCATAGCAAACCCTCAATACATATGCAATGTGACCAACTGGATGAATAGACAGATTTTGGGCAAAACAAATCAAAGAATCTTACTTGAAAGGGCAAATGTGATGCTATGGGGTAAAGGGAGGGAATTAGTCAAAAAGGAAGGAGTCAGGGAAGGTTGCTTCATGAGCAAGGTACCGCAACAAGACTTGGAACACGGACGTGGTGCGGTAGTTCTGTAAATAGTGTGATTATGTGGAAAGCACAGGGGAGAGGAAGGCAAGAGTGATCCACGGAGAACACCACATGAGCAGTGGTACAGAGGTGGGAAGGTCCAAGCTCCAAAAGGGAGAAAAGAACTTCTTGGGTTGTTTGTAGGCCAAGGCACCTAAAACTCATGTGGAAGATGGAGTTAGACAGGACTGAAGGTGTTGATGCCTGGAAGGTCCATGGTATAGGGAAGAGTTTGTAGAATAGGGGGTCCTGATAGCCCTGGTTTCAAGACCAACAACTACTTTAATAGCAAGAATAAGTCTTCCTGGGGCACTGTTTTCAATGAGAAATATAGATGAGGCTTGAATAGTGTGTGTCTTCCTCCCGCCCTCCCACTTAGGTGGCATCTTCTCAGCTGGCCAACCTCTGACGCCTCTGTAACAATCTCCCATGGCCCTAGAATTCCCCACAGAAACACTCGCTGTGGGTGAAGCCATCTTTGTCAATCATGACTAATGGTAGCCTCTCTTCGCCATTTTGGTGTTGGCTCTGCAGATACCACACCAAGGAAAGTCAGACAGCGTGAACTGGAAATGATTCCTGAGAACTAGAAGTAAACTTCCAGATTGTGCTTCCTTGACTGTTTTCCCTGTGGCTTCTGTAATTCACCTCTATGTGCTGTGATTGATCTCCCTCTCTGACCTCAGACACTTGCCAGAATTACAGACAACCTCCGTTCCTTCCTCCTCTCTGGTTCCTTATTTCACTTACTTTCTCCTCCCTCTTTGTGAGTCTCAGCTTTTGCTTGTTGAATTAGAGAACCAGGAAAAGGAAAAAGAGACCTAGCTTCAGGCTGGAGAGATGGCTCAGTGGTTAAGAGCATTGCCTACTCTTCCAAAGGTCCTGAGTTCAATTCCCGGCAACCACATGGTGGCTCACAACCATCTGTAATGAGGTCTGGTGCCCTCTTCTGGCCTGTAGACATACACACAGACAGAATATACATAATAAATAAATAAATAAATAAATCTTTAAAAAAAGACCACAATCTATTAAATACGTCTGGAGTGCACAAACTTAGTTTTAAAAAGAGAGAAAGAGAGAGAGTGAGAGAGAGAGACCTAGCTTCTAGACAACCCTGTCCTTGTCAGTGCTTTGCACCCCTGGGAAAGAAAGACAAGTCTACATATAGTAGTGCCTAGGACAGTACAGTCTCTCTATTTAAAAAAAGAAAACCTCATAGACAAACTATGTAATGATGTAATGTTTAAGGTTCCTTGTGGTTTCAAGTGCCTTTGATGTGTTGTGCAATAAAAGCTCTACTTGAAGACCAGGGTCAATTTCTCAGTTCAACGAATGAACCTCTGTACAGTGCTCTGAGTTGCTGAGACGCATGTGATAGCACCACTGTAGAATGAACTAAGTCCTCCCGTGCATGTGTTTTCCCACTGCTATACTGTGTCTACATAGTGGGAGGTTGGGGAAAGTGGAGTCACTTCCCCTCGCTGACAGTTAGCTTTCAAGTGAATGAGACCCTTGGAGAGCACTGCCTTTTAAGATGTCATAAATTAACTACGGGAAAAGATCATGTTACAGATATCTTTAAGTACGTTGTGTGCGCACACTCACACGGCTAACACTCTGCAAGGCAGTAGTAGGTATCATCAGGCATTAAGAATGTTTTGATTTTAAAACGCTTAATGAGCATTTGTAGATAAATTAAAACATCTCCATGTGCTGTCTTCATGGTAGGTGATATTTTACCATTGCACAGTCATCTCTAAATCTAATTCCACCAGGAAGACTTCTAATCGTTGTCTAATTTTAGAGCAATGTTCTGCTTGGCAATCAATAAGGCAGTATCGTCAAACTCAGATTTAATCGGAGACATGGTTTGCATCCTCTACAGGATGCACTGAGCGAAATACTTTCGGGCCAAGGAGAGAAGGGTGTCTTTGTCTCCCATTTTCCCCTGCCACATACCATTGTAGCTCACAAAAGCTTATAAATCAATGCCCCGTGTTGCGTGAATATAAATCTCATCAATTTTACATCATTAACACCATGAAAAAGCTACCACTCTCAGAGCAATTTTCCTCTGCTAGCTAAATCTGTCCTTTGGATGAAACAAAACAAGCAGATTCCGATTGTTTTGCTAACAAACCCTTCCTCCACCAACTTTCATCATGCCAAAATCCACTCTGAGTGCAAAGTTGTCATATTGCCAGTTGAGGGACTAGGGTGTGAGGCAGTGACACCAGTCTGCTACGCAGGGGGCCACGGGCCACGAAAAAGAGGATGAGGCTGAAGGGAGAGCTCTGAGGGGCGTCAGAGAGGCAAGCATAGCTTATATCTTGGCAGATGAAGGCGAGGCAGAACATTCTAGAACAGCAGATGGCCAGAAGCCTAGTTAAACAAGAGGCCAGGGATTGACATTTTGTCAGGTCAGTGATCTCTAGAACTAAGGTCATGGCCTTCATAAGAACCAGAGGCCCAGTGAACGATTGTAGTGGCTTCTAAGGTACAGGAAACCTAGACGAGAGCCTTGGAGAATGTCTCCTCTCGTGGTTGGGGAGGGTTTTGTAGCAGCACCTGTGCCGCCTGTATGTCTCCCTCCCTCCTGGTCGTCAGGAAGAGGAAAGATTTTGTGCACCCCCAATCTCATTCATGTTTCTTCCTGGACTATTTGAACCGTGACCACTTGTTCAAATGTAAGCTAGGGAATCTAGCAGCAATAAGCAGATGTAATTATAAACAAACAGTTGCATTACAGAAATACATAAATTTATTGACAATAATTGTGAGCTTATGTCTTTGAGCAACAGGCCCACCGCCAGCATCACTTTAAAGAGAGGGGAATCTCAAAGCATTTCCACTAAAGTCGGGAATGAGCCAAGAATGTCTACCCTCCCCATATCTGTTCAATACAGTACTTGAAGTCCTGTTAGATTTTTGAAATTTGCCTTTTCATTGCCTTTGCTGATCCCTGTAGAGCCAGGACTTTTGAATTAGGAGCCTTTGGTCTGGTTTTTTAGGGGGATAAACTGTGGCGCAGAGGCGTAGGTGGGTGGTTTGCATTAGTACAATGGCTAGAACTCGGACTCCTTGATGTAGGAAAAAGGCTCTTCATTAGGATTCGGAACTGACCACCAGCGTCTTTTTGGTTCTGCAAGTCTTTATAGAGTACTAATTAAGATGATATATGGGATTATTATAGGAAAATAGCCATGAAGATCTCCATCGCCTAATAGGATGGGAAACTTTTGTTTTGTGGCAGTTTGGATAACAAAAACATCAAGGCCAATTTCAAATTATGGAGCATCATCCAGATTGCTTCAGTTCAACAAAGTGAGTGGAGCTGATGTTAGATGGCAGAGGTTAGGAAAAGAGTCTAGTGTGGGGAAAAAGGCCAGGAGTCAGCAAACTTAGCAGAGCAAACCTGTGAACATCTGCATGTGAGGAATCCATCAAGTGTTTTAAGGGAACATTTCCTGCAGTGAGAGGGAAGGCTAGCCCCGTTTGGGGGCTGCTTAGCAGATGTGGTGCCATCTCATGGGGTCATCAAAGGAGCTTTTCAAGAAGATAATGAGACCCGACGTTGCAGACAGAGGGATTCAACCGATGAAAAGGATGTGTGTGTGTGTGTGTGTGTGTGTGTGTGTGTGTGTGTGGTGTCCTCCTCTACCCACAATGGTGACTTTGAAAAAGAATAGAGGAAATCTTTCATCCCTCAATATAGCTTTTCGCCAGCTGCTGGGAAAACTCAGTAACCCAGCAGAACTAGAGTACTGTGAAGTGCACAGCACCCCCTGGAGTTGTTCAAGGGACGATCTTTCCCACTGCATGCAAATGCCTGGCTAGGGAAGTGTGTTCATTAGCAAGACAGATTGGACTGAGCTATGCTGCGAAGGTTGCAAGCAGAAAGAAGCACGTGGGATGAGTCAGACTCGGAAGCGTCGGCGGGTGGTGGGAAGCCACCTTTGCAGATGCTCACTTCCATATGAGCAGTCCGGGGAGATCTCTGGTCACAGCACTGAGACCGCGAAGGGAGACCTCCCTTTCTCAAGGGCAGGCGTAGCTCTTTTTCCTTCCATCTGTACCAAACAGCTTTCCCAAAGCCCCTTGGGCCTTTCACACATGGCAGAAACATCTCTCTTATTCGTCAACAGCTCGAGGGGTGTGCTCCCTGAAACATGCTCTTCCTTTGTGTGTCCCCAGGCCCTTCAGCATCACCATGCTGTTCATGAAATTTCCTACATTGCGAAGGACATCACGGATCACCGGGCTTTTGGATACGTTTGTGGGAAGGAAGGGAATCACAGATTTGTGGCCATCAAAACAGCCCAGGCAGTAAGTATTCCTGTCTAACATGGGTGTTTTCCTTGTAACTGTGCAAGACAGAGCTAACACTGTTTATTTCCCAAGACCCAGTCTGGGCAAATGATGTGCCTCCCAGCTGCAGAATCCTACCTAGGAAAGATAAACAGCCTTGAAGCAAAGAATCATGGTCATACCCATTCATTTTTGTTTTGTTTTTTATCCTAATGGGTATGTCCTAATGACTAATTATTTTCCCTTTCTGATTAAGCTAGATAGAGACACATATACAAATAAGTTTTCTTGTGTTCATAGCCTCATTTAAAAGGAAAATAAGAGAAAACAAATAGCTGTTTTGCATATGGCCTGCCCTAATTTTATTGTATTCCGAATCACTAATAAATAAAAAGAAATGCCTTTTATGCTTATGATTATTATGAATTTGCAAATATAATTAGTTGAAGAAATGAACTTTAGCCTAGAAGCAATTTGCTAAACCAATATAAACAAGGTAGAATTAATTAAGAACGGAATGCTTTCAGTTTAATAGAAAAAGGAAGGGCTGCGGGTTGGAGCCACAAACAAAAATTAGTAGCTGCAGTTCTTTATTAATCTGTCTCCCCGCCTTTCACTCCAGGCTGAACCTGTTATTCTGGACTTGAGAGATCTCTTTCAACTCATTTATGAACTGAAGCAAAGAGAAGAGTTGGAAAAAAAGGCACAAAAGGATAAGCAGTGTGAGCAGGCTGTGTACCAGGTATGCCTAGGAGTTCCTCCCCGTGCTGCCGAAGACAGGGCCCACAATAAACAGATGGGAAGCTGACAAGTCGGGCTGTCTCCTGCTGCCTAGAAGAAATAAACAGAGATGAAAGGTTCCTGTGAAGGTTACAGGCATCCAAACTAAGCCATTAGAAGTGATCCCTTCCTTTTTTTTTCTTTTCTTTTCTTTTCTGAAACTTGAGATAGGTTAGAGAAAGGGGAACCTTTAATCCACAGGAAGATTTCAGAGGAGGGAGACTAAAGGCCCATAGCAGCTTCACTTGCTTTGCTGTTGTTCAAGCAGGGAGTGGGTGGGGAGGGAGCTGCAGGATTCGGGGTTTCTTTGTGTATTTCCCGCGTTAATGGCCTCCTAGCCTATCCTAATCAATGCTGCCTTCTCCGCTGTGCTGTATTATCTGAAGATAATCTCATATCTCTTCCTTTGTATCCTTTGCTTTCCCCCTCCCTCCCCTCTCTGGGATAGACAATTTTGGAAGAGGATGTTGAAGATCCCGTGTACCAGGTAATTTCTGAACCACGTTGGGGTTTTGCATGAACTTGTGCCCATGGTAAGGCTGTTTTGACGGGCAGTTGAGGAATCTGTTGAATGCAGAAGAACTAAGGTGATTTCCAAAGGTCAGGGCTGCCAGCCTGTGCAGAGAGAGAATTTCAACACGGAGAGAGGTTAGCCAGCACTACTAACAGGTTATCTGGAAATCCACTTTCTTCTTCATGCCCCTGCCTTAGACGCTTCCATGATCTGGAAAAGTTTGGTCGCTTAAATGAATGTTTCTCAGGAGTCTCTTGACTGTTCTGACTTGAGTCACGATGGATATGAAGAGGACTCTAGGAGCTAAGAATTAGGGTTAAGGGATGACATTTGAGCGGCATTTGAACACAGCCCTAAGTAATGGCTTATGAGTTTTAGCAGGGATGTAAGATGATCTCTGGAGCCCTGACCATGCAGGGTAGCCCTCTGATTATTTGGCTCATGGCACAGAGCTGTCATGAAGTGGGAGAGAGAATACCGAGACGTCTCTGTCCGGGGCTTTCTCTGCACTCTCTCCATGGTCTACAGCACAGGGGTGGGTAATGACCTCTCTTGGGGTCGAATCCCAGGTCCATGCAAACAAGGAAAGGAAGAAGTGGCTTTTCCCCCTCCTGTGCTTATTTCTAAGGAGGAAAAAGTGGACCAAAAAGCATACTCACTTTGTTAACGTAAAAGCAAACCTCCTGCTTTTATTCCTAACCAGGATTCATAGGTGTGGTTTGTGTCTGTGTTACACAGCCACTGCATATATGTGCGCACTTTCACACCAGCAGCTGCTATGGCTATGATGAGAGTGAAATGATAAATAGATAGTTGCTTAGATACGTAGGCGGATAGGTGTCAAAGTATCTCGCAGATCTGTGGTAGACACAAGTCAGAGCTGCATCACTGTGAACACGCCCTTGCTTTGGAGGGATGCAGGGGAAGACCTCGCTTACAGCAGGAGCTTCAACCCCTGATTAATAAGCTCATAGAGGATGAGAATGGTGGCCTTTGGAAAATGCCCCAGCCCCTCAAGTCTGGAATGTACTCATAGAAATGTTAATGTTCAGTGTTTTAAACCAATAAGATTCTGTTGGGGCTTCCTGGCTCTTGGGCATTGGCCCAGGACTTTAGGAAGGCAATGGGGCTGTAAAGTGAAGTTTGCAAGGCTGCATCCCTGTGACAACCGTAGCATCATTCTGCTCAGCTGTCACACAGGCCAAACCCCATTGAATGAACATATTACCTCTCAGCAAAGACTTGCAGTGGCCCAGTGTTCTCCCCGCAACCAGCAAAGGTCTGCAGGTTTCCTTAGCAAGGCCCATGTTATCCCCGTAACCCACATCATTTCGGATGTTCCCTCTTGTGCCTGCTTCTGTAATGCTTGCTGTGGTTTGCATCTGAATTCCAAATGCTTTTTTCCTCTTTCTTATTTTGTTTCCTTCTGCCCTTTCCTCTCTGGCTGCTCCTGCAATAGTACATTGTGTTTGAGGCTGGACATGAGCCAATCCGTGATCCTGATACAGAAGAAAACATTTACCAGGTATAAGATCCTTGCTTCTTCCTATGCCCCCTTCACTAGCAAATGCTAGTGTACTGATGGTCTCAAGAAGCCAGGGTCTTTTGGTCATCCAGGCTCGCGTGATGCCCTTGAGTACACTGACTTCTGGTTCCCAGCAATTTTCTGGCAGTTTCCGTGTCTCCATGTTGAAATCTTTACTGGCCAGTTGGGTATAGTAATTTAATCTGAAATGGATAACTGGGTGTTTTAAGTAGCATACAACCCAAGCATTCTATTGTACTGAGATAATGCCCCGCAGAATTGCAATCCACCAAGTAGAAGGGTTTTTTACTTTTCAAAGCAATGCATGCATCCAGTTCGGTTAAAAACCCAACTTCCCTTCTGTAAGTAAGGGGTAGATCTGAAAATGCTGTGAAAGCAGCATTGGGAGTATGAACCGAATAAAAGAAAGTAAAGTTGAAGGCTTTATCCTTCCTGAAGGAGAGGCAAGTTAATATTCATAACTGAGAAGAACACTTAAAACATTTTTGAACTCATTCAACTCTTACAAATGTGTGATAAAATAGGCATTTAATTCTGGGTTTTTTGGGGGAAGTATTGAACAGATTCCCCGGGATGGCACAGCTCCTTAGAACCAAGGCAGAAAACCAGACACAAGTGAAGACCAAGCCCCAGCCTCCTCAGGAATGCCATTAAAGTGTTTCGGTCGTGGGTCACAGTAGCGTGGTCTAGTGGCACATCAAGTAAATATGATAATTTTTCACTAATGAGAACCTGAGTCTTCATCTACAGCCTAAGTACTGTGGGAGAAGGAGCGATGTGATGTATTTATTTAATCAGGGGTTTTAATTTACTTAGTTGTGTGTTCTATTATTCAGCCTTGGGCATGTGCTAATTGTGAAATCAAAATAAAATGTATTTTCAATTTCTCTCAAACGGGTAGAATTCTAAATGAGCAAGCCCAGTGCTGTTTCTCCCAACAGCTCAGTTTAAGTGGGTCTTGTAGACCATCCTTTATTTATGCGCGCCTGGTCCACCCAGGTGCTTCCCACTGGGCCTCCACCAGGAAGAGCTGGAGCAGGGAGGGCTTCAAAGATTTGAGCACCTGCTGAGAATGCAAGGTGTGGTTTAGTCTTCACCTACAGAAGCTTTGCAGTTGGCCCCAGTGTCAGATCTGCAGCCCTGTACCATCCTGCAGTGTCGCCTGAGCATTGAGGTCAAAGAGTCATTAACTTGCCATCCCTGGGAGAGGGAGCACCTTCGCCGTAGCAACTGGGGACAGCAAAGTGCCTGCACGAGCCAGAAAGAGCTGCCTTCGGGAGCAGAGCTGGGGTTCAGTTTGGCCCTTCTCACCAAATACCTTTGGGTCATGGTTGGAGAGCAAGGCCCTTGCTGTTTTTCGGATTCCATTTCTCCAATTATAAAGTGGGGGGGGGGGGCATTCCCATCAACATGAGACTGAAACAAGCTTGTGTGGGGAATAGAGTGGGGCAGCATCCTGGGGCATCCTAGGGCATCCTGGGGCACGGATATCCATGTGGATCCAGACCTTAGTCCAAGTACCTGCTCCAGCCGTTGATTTAAATTGTAAATTTCCTTCCTGTCTCTGGGCACCAGTTTACCCACCTGTAAAATGAGTAAATAAGATTCATAGATCTCTGTGGGTAGGGTCTTTCCTGCTGTCTGCAACATACACCTTACAAGAAATAAATCTGGGGTTCTTTGTGGAATCATGCTACCTTGCTTTGTAGGCAGCCAGGCCCTTTGGGATCCATGTGTACCCACGGATGTCCCCTCACGTGGGGGTGTACGTGGAACACCTGTCATCTCTCACAACACCCACTATGGCTTTAGTCATTTTCCCACCTTACAGACAAGGGGAGTGAGGCTTGTGGGGGACCAGGGATCTTGTTGGGGTCCCAGAGCCTGTGAGATCGAATCTCTAAGGCAGGTGTCTTTGTCTGATCTCTGTAAAGCCCCTCAGTCCTGCGGCTCTTTCCAGCTCAATGCTATATAGCTCTGGGTTCCCCGGTTATATTATGTATCTTAAGTCACTATCAGAAAGATGGCGCGTGTTTTAATAGCACTGGCCTCCTGGTCTCCCCATCTGTCCATCATTAACAAGAAGGCGTTGTTTACGAGAATAAATACTTTATCTTAGCAATTGGAAAGGCTGTGGCCATGTTTCTCTCCTGCAGTGCAGGTCCACCTGGGCTCAGTGCACTTACCAGGAGATGAGCCCTTGGCCTATAGATTACCAGGCTAAAAAGGTGCTGCCATTAGCCCGCCTGTCCTTTTTGTGAGTAGGGGGAGGCAAATTCTACATAGCTGATCCTGCTGCATACATCACACTGTTCCTACTACCTCAAGTCAAGGAGGCCTTGTTTTATTCCAGCCATTGTTTCTAGAAGGCAACACACAAAGCTGAGGCTAGGCATCCTTGTAGTGTTTTGTGCCTTTGGATGATGTACATTACTTTTGCCATTCAGCTTCCCAGGCTGTGGACTGGGTGGGGTTAGTCCAGTGTGGACTCCTGTGAAGCTATGATGCCATGGTGTATCTGGTCCACAGAAGCTTCTGTGTAGACATCCCTTCCTTCACTTAGGCATCCTTGGAATCATTGGGTACCACTTTTGATGATGCTGTCCTAACAGCCCATTTTGTTGGAAAGCCCCCCATAGAAAGCTGCAGCCTTGCTTTGCTGCCTTTACCCAGCATGAGGATGAAGAGGCTCTGACACTGGGGCATCTTTCCGAGGAGGAGTTACGTCCCCACAGCCATGTGAATAATCTTAATTTTCCCCTGTGTCATGGGCCTCAGAAAACATGATCAGTTCGCTTTCACACATCGGGCATTTTTCTACATGACTTAATGGTGACCTTTCTGTCACTTGGTGAGCAGAGAAGAAAAGCTCCCGAGGCTGTCATTTTCAGCATAGGGACTCCAAGTGCCAGTATCAGGGACTTTAATTCCAGTCTTGCCCTAGAGTACCTTAACCAGGTATTACCTTGCTTTCCAAGTAGATGTTTTTCAAATTCAGTTCTTCAGAACTCACTGTTAATTTCCCCTACGTGTTAAGTATCAATTTGAGATAGGAAAGCTGACTTTGTGCCACCTGCCACCACACTGCTGACACGGATGTGCCCGCTGCGTATACCACTTCAAGGTGTAGCTTTTAGAGCCATTTAACACCTATTTAACTTGTTCATTCAGAAGTCTTTCTTCTGGGCACCTAGGAAAATAACAGTGACCACTACAAGGACCCTGTCCTTGTTCATAAATGATCCCTTGGATGTTCATGTAAACCTGAGGCTCAAAAATTAAGAAAGCCGAGGCGCAAAATGCAGCATGCCTCCCCTAAGTCATGCAGTCTGTAGGCAGTCCCGGATGAGGAGCCAGATCCTCACCTTCCCCCTCGTCTAGAAGTTTCAGCACTCTGCATCACGGTGGTACTGCAGTGGTCCCTGGTGTTGAAACAGACAGTCTGCGCAAACATGACAGAGCCACAGACCTTAGCCCTCACCTGGGAATGGTTGATGAAACATGTCTTTGCTTAACATTATGTGCCCTGTCTGGAGCAAGCTTACAGAGCTGTGGCACTCCAGACACACAGGGAGCGTGAACAGTCTGGCATACCTCCCATGATCAGAAAGTTCATATTCACGGTCTTCATTAGTAGCCGGTGTATAGTTCCTTCTCTCCCAACACAAGAAGCTCTGCTGACTCTGGACCTTATCCGCCATTCGCACCGTCCAGAAAAGACACAATCCCTGGCATAGAGCAGGCGCTTAGGAACTTGTCTTCTTTTGTAAAAGGACGCACCTGAGATGGGAGATGAAACAAACAAACAAAACACTCCAAACCGGGTCCATAGAGGCAGGCGGGAGTCGCGAGAACACGTCCTAGCCTGGATAAATCTTAAAGGACAAACAAGCAGATTGATATCTCACCCATGGGAGAGCCAAGTAGAAAAGCGTTTTCAATTATGCACAGTTTGGGTTTCTCCATCGCTTGGCTTGTTCTCCATTTGCAGGGATAATTGAGAAGCAGCCGCGGTTCAGCTGTGCTAAGTGCCCGTAGTGAGCAGTGAATTACAGGCAGCAGAACACTCTTCCTTCCACTCCATTCCACTCCTAAAGTACAGGGTGAGGTGGCGAAAACAAGAGTGAGGGCTGGTAATTTATTGGCCCTCGTTAACAAGGACTCTGTAGACATTCAGGGAGGATTCCTTCTAAATGGCACTCCGTTACCAGGACCAAAGACATGACATTCTTCGTTGAATACCTGCAAACCAGGAATTCTTCCATCTGGCCTTGCTCAGTGATAGTTTCGTTTTCTGCAAGGATGCACATGGACCTCTGGGAATGCAGGGGTTGTTGTTGTTGTTGTTGTTGCTGTTGTTTGGCTTTTTAAGGATGCACCTGAAGCAGCCACCCAAACAGTGTAGCAATAAACAGCAAATGACCTGGGCAGCAGCGCCTAGCTTTCCCACTCCTGGTGGCTGGACCCTCTCTCCAGGCCTGATCTTCCTTCTCTACATCACAGGGAGGGATGGCTGTAGTTCTAGAAGACTTGTCCTGGTTATTCCATCACTATTTGTGGATAATAGAATGTTTACAACACCGCCTGCTCATGGGGCATGCCTACTGGCATATTAACTTATTATATTAAGAATAAAAGTCTATCTTGATACCCGAAAAGATTTGGGTTGAACCACAGCCAAACCGGAAGTTTGGGGCAAAGTCCGTAACACCCATCCCTGAACCTCATTTTCTAACGATTGAAGGTAGGGTTAGCATCCGGAGTTTACATTAAATGGGGGTAAAAATAAGAGAATGGATGGGTTGAGGTTCTTCCTCTCATGGATAAGGAGATCTGGCTGGCCCATGCTTGGCAGGGACTTCTTTTCTTCAGTTCCCCCCCCCCCCCGACACTGCTCTATGAAAGATTTACCCAGAGGGTATTCATAGGGGGCCTTCTGGTTGTGGCACACTCTATCTGTTCCTGAGAAGCATCCAGCCTGCTGGAGAGACAGCCTCACTGTCAGGACATTATAAATCTACTGCTGTTTGGCCTCTGCAGCGGAGAGCAAAGCTGTGGCGGTCTGGGGGGGAGGAGCGGTTAGTGAGTGCTTCCAATCTGGAATGTTTCAGTGTGGGGCCCTTGATTGACACATTAGAGAAGTATTCGACACTATTAATATCACGAAAATGTGTTCATATGCATATGTATATGATGTATGTGTGACAAAGAAAATCATCCCCCTGGCATATTGCAGAATTGTGGGGCGTATCTCCTATCCAGTTCTTCACTTGGCGTCTCACCGTCACCTGAGTGAGATGCATTGCTGATCAGACCCATTGAGGGCAGCAGAGCCAGGGGGGCTTGATGGCCTTCAGGGTGTTGCACGTGACAAGTATCCCCAGGAGACCAGAAGCATGAGCAGGGGAAGGAAGAGAAGGGAGATTTGGAGGGATGGCAGATCAGTCAGGGACTTCTGGATCCTGGTGTCTGACTTCCCCTATCATGTGGGCCCTTTCTATGATTATCAGGAGGGGGCTGATAGGTATGTGGCACTTGACTGTTGATAACACTTAGATCACCTCACAGAGACATGTATGCTCATACATAAACTGTTTCTAGTTACTTCAGGGGAAATCATAGCACCTGGACCCCCTTTATGATGAACCAAATGAAGTTGGATTTTGTTGTTTTGTTTCTGCCATGTGGTATTTGAAGTCTCCACAGCTGTTCTTTGACTCTGGGAAAGGCTCAAGAACATATATTTGTTTTAAGATGATACCCGCATCCTCATTGATTTTTCTCGGGGAAAGGAACCTGGCTTAAAGCCTTCATGGCTAAAACCACCCCTTGAGGGCTAGACCTGTCTTAGGCGCTGTCTCACAGAGAGTCAGACTTGCAGAGACATCTGACTACTCTGGTCTTTGAAAGTGGAGCAGCAAGCCAGGTAGTGGTGGCACACACCTTTAATCCCAGCACTCAGGAGGCAGAGACTGAGTTCAAGGCCAGCCTGGTCTTTAGAGTGACAGCCAGGGCTACACAGAGAGAAAAAAAGAAAAAAGGAAGGAAGGAAGGAAGGAAGGAAGGAAGGAAGGAAGGAAGGAAGGAAGGAAGGAAGGAAGGAAGGAAGGGAGAGAAAATGGTGGAACACTAATGTTTTGACTGTCGGATTTGATTTCTCTCTAGGTTCCCACCAGCCAAAAGAAGGAAGGTGTTTATGATGTGCCAAAAAGTCAGCCTGTAAGTGTAAGTACATCCACCTCAGCAGCCAGACTCGTGCAGAGGCTGTGACTGGTGGGAAACTCTTTTTCTGCTCCCTGAGTCACATGTAGTTTCTCGTGGGTATCGGGACATAAGGAAAGAATGGTACGGATGAGCAACGACCAATCACAACAAAGGTCTGTTCTGTGAATGAGTGGATGGGGTTGGATAATGCAAATAGTTCTGCCTGGGGGACTCCAGATCCCAGTTCTTCCAGGACATAGGTCTCCAACCAGAACTTCAGAAAGTACATGGTCAAGTATAGGACACTGTCATTTTCTTCTACCCGTCCCATCTGAAAGTGGTTAAGAAGTCCCAAAGGAACAATGAAAGAGCTGGCCAGAGCTCTGAAGGTATGTAAGGACTCATCCATCTCATTAGCAAGCACTTAAAGGAAAGGCCATGTGTCGCATGCCTGCAGAGAAACTAGCAGGTGGGGGTGCCACAGCGAGGACAGTGATGCCCAGTGCATCTGAACTCATAGGAATCTGAGCCGGAAAGGAAAGCGGAGCCCTACCCTGGCACTGACAGCAACCTCTTCTTCCTAAGGCCAGCAACACTGAGAGCCAGCCTGTTCTTCAGGTTTCGATTGGTCCAGCCCCCATTACACAATTTCCCTTCGGTTCAATTTGTGCCCAGATTGACTCACTTGCCCCTGACAGGTTTAGATGCGCGAGGAAATACGCTCTATTTGCTGCCCTACTTTTTCTGATTTTATTAGCCATTCTGGTCACACCCTCTCCAATGCTTAATAGCTCCAAGGGGAAAAAAACCTAAGCCTCTTAGCCTGGCAGACAAGCCATCTAAGGGCTCCATCAGCTCATGGGCCCATCGCTCCCCTTCTGGCCCAGCCCTCTGAACCCTCCCCTCCCCCTGCTCTGTCTGCTGCCTGCTATTCCTACATCCAGTTATTGGGGAGACTTTTGGGGTTTCTGCTCTGAAAGTCAGTCACAGATCTCCCCTATTTTGGTGGCCCTGTGACAATTATTCCCCTACGAACAGCACATCTTTCCCCATCACCTCCATGAGTCTCCTGAGGTCCTTGTATTACCAAAACTGAGCCCTGGTAGCTGAAAACAGGCAGGAAACAGCAAGTTTGGGGATATTTAATGGATAGACAATTGACTAGCCCCTGAAGGAGGATAGGGGTTCTTCCCCTTAAAAGGGATTCCCTGTTTCTCAGAACCCTAAAAGGACATTGCCCAGAGACACTAGAAGTCTTGCTCAGGGGATACCTGACAATATGAACGGATTGCATTAGCTGCTCACTCAGTGTTCCCTAAGACCTACTCGGTGTGGTAGCAAGTTCCCATGGCCTGAAAGAAACAGGAAGCGTGAGGCTCAGGCTTGCAGACATGAGCACAGGTAGATCCGGGTCCTGCTCCTGCCCACCCCTATGAGCTTCGGTGGGGTTTCTCTATCCGTTGGTCCAAGGTTTGTCTTCTACCCAAAGAAGTTAGTGACTGAGAAAATAGTACGTCTGTTGGAAAGTCCCTCTGAGTTACCCCAGCCTCATGGGGCTGCATGAATTCTTCTGGGTCCCTCTCTGCTCTGCTGGCTCAGTGTCCTATATTCTTCAGCTTGAAGCCCTGCCCCTCTGCCAAAGCACATGCCACAGGGAATCTCTCTGCTGTGAGGCTCCTTCCCGTATCACCTTGGCCGCTCCATTTGTCTCCTGTCCTCATTGTAAAAGAAAAAGGAAGCAGAGAAAGGGAATCCTGCTCGTTCATGTTAGGTAGCTGCCGGGGAGCTGTGGGGCCCCTCCACAGTTCCCACAGAAAGGCAAACCGCCCAGTGGCCTGTCACTCTGAGTTCCTCACTGGTTTCCTCTGGCGTGGGTCCAGAGCTCCACAGAGCCCAGGTGAGAGAATCAACCTGGGGTTTTCCTTTGGGAAATCGACCATCATCCACAAAGGACTAGGCTCATCCTCAAGTGTAAGGCTTGGGTGTACTTGTCACCAATGGGCCCTCGCTGAGGGTCTCTGAGGAACCCTTTGTCTCCCAAAGGCACGGTATCTGTTAAAAGCAAGTACTGCCTGCCTTTGATCTTAGGAAGACTGAGAGAAACATCTTGGGAAAGTCCTTAGCAGAGGCTGTAAATTTGACGAAATGAGGATATTCCCTGGGTGTTGCTGTAACAGGCGAGCCTTGAGCTAGCAGTTTTGACTGATCTGGGATGGTCAGCTTCTCAAAATGAGTATGCACCTCCTTTGGGAAGCCTGCTTTACCCCAAACAGGTCAGCGCATCTTTCTGCGGGCGTTTGTCCTTCCCTTTGCGATGATAATGATCAATGTTATTTTTCTCTTAGTATGTCTACGCAAACCATTGGATTTTGTGTTCCCCAAAAGTGTTCAGTGAAATCATAGCTCTTGAAGTCCTGCTCTGTGCCTCAAGGTTAGCTGTCACTGGGCACAGAGGGGATATCCCAGTGTTATGAGACAGAGCTGGCTTTGAGTTCTGGCTTCATTACTGACTTTGGGACCTTGAGTGAGGCCTTTCCTCTGTTTAGTTTTTAGTTGCCCTGTGCTTGTAATGGTGATAGAAACCCATGACCACCAGGTTCTAAGGGTTTATATTAGCCACTCAGTATATGGTATCTATTGGTAGATCCGAATAAATTTGCTTGAAAATACTTACCAGGAATGGTCCCTCCCTCACTGTGTGTCTGCTGAGGGCAGAAAGCATGCCCTACCCGTGACCTGATTACTAGGGGCCATTGGCACAGAATGGCTGCACTGAAAGTGCATTATTGAGAGTGAGTGAACAGAGCTGAAAACGAACGATTGTGTAAAGAATAAATGTCTGTGGATCCAAAGCTCATGTCTTAAGTTCTTTTCCCTCCTGGAGCACCATGTCACACGGAGACAGTGTTTGCTGTCATAGCTGCCCCTGGCCCAGCCCCTCTTTGCACTCTGCCGTCAACAACTCGTGCCCTGTTCCGCCTCCAACCTTCATAAATATGCATGGGTTTTCCTCATAGCTTGGATCACCAAGCTGACAGATGGCCTTCTGAACACACACATGGAAAAGCATGCGAGCACACCACACACACACACACATACACACACACACCTGCACCACTTGCCTCCCACATCAGCAGCTCCGCAGCAGTCAAAGCCAAAGGCATTTTGCTGACTGGGCAAAGTTATTTTGGGGTTTTGTTTCGTGTTCTGCTGCCTCAGAATGGGCCCAGAGCCGGAGCCCCATGGAAACTGGTTAGCTTCCTTACAGTGCTTAACGTTTTCTGGAGAGAGACCGGTACGTGACAACATAGTGAGGACATGGTCTGACAGAATTAAGAATCTGCATAGGCTTTTTTCCCAGAACCCCTTGGAGCCATTTATATGTCACAAAGAAGGCCAGAGAGAGGATGAGGGTTCATCGATTTTACTACCTACTCGCCTGAAGACCACTATAATTCTTGCATTTTAAGACCATATCAATATATCTCTTACCTAGTGATAGATCATCTAAAATTAAGGATAATAATTACATGGTTTAATTTGAAACCACATTTAGCTGAAGACTTTTCTTCAAAAAATTAGAAGTGTCTGAGGTAATATATAGGCTATGAACAAGATAAAAGGAGACAGGCAGACCTTACACCCCAGCCAGTCATTTACCTGCCTTCTCAACAGAACAAAGAAAGCTAGCATCCGTTTCCAAGTTGGAGCACTGACCAAGGAGATGTTCATCGCTGATTCCAAAGATTAAAACATGGAAGTTTTCAGGTGTTTAATGCATTTAAAAATATGCTACAAATGTTAACGTGTGTTTGTATATGAATATGCAAGAGGAATATATTTTGAGTTATGAATATATATTACATAAATTGAGTGTGTTTCAATTTTCTTCGACCTAAATACCCTTTTTTAATGCAACCCCAAATACATCTCAAGTAGAGAGTCACTCCATTAAGGACCTAACGGGGACAGGGCTATGGAAGACAACCCAGACATGCGTAGTACTAATAGCAAACATTCTGCTCCCAAAGCTCAGGTTGAAGAGCAGAGCTGTTCTTTACTGCTTACTGGTCCATGAGCTGTCCATGTGGTTCTGCTGCTGCCTGCCTTTCCCAGAGTTACTTGACTGATGTGGGTCTGGAGGCCGTCATGCCCAGCCCTCCTGAGCCGGCTCACAGATGGGGATGTGGTTAGCTATGCTCTAAGGTAGCTTCAGGAAAGGCCGCGCATCCTCTTCCATGGGGTATCTCCTCCTTCAGCAGGGTTGTCAGGTCGCAGTCGTCACCTTGTGGTGACATGGGTTCCAGCGTGTGCGTGGAGACACCCAGACCCTCTGAGACTGTGAGTAATTCAAGCCTGTCCTGGATTCAGGTTTAGAAAACAAACTCTACGCCTTGGTAGAAATTGTAGTTTTCCTGCAAAGGCTGGAGAATGTATGGAGAGTGTAGGGGAGTGTCTCTCATGGAATCTGTTTATCGCTGTCAGCATATGAAATCACTACTGAATGGTGATAATCAAGTTGAAATGTTTGCTTCTTTGCTACCGCTTCCTTTTCATGTTGCCTTGCTTGTATTTCGCTGTCATCTGAGGTGGTTTCTGATGGACTCTCTCTGTAGGACAGCCCGTTGGGCACCTTGGCTTCCCAACCCCAGAGTCGCCAGGCATTGATCCCCTGCTTCTGGAGATGCCTTGCTGATCAGGCACTCAGGTGCCCTCCTCTCTCTCATCACAAGCCTCTCCTTCCTCTCCTCACACCTCCCGACTCTTGCTAAAAAACACTCGGTCCAACAGTCAAGATTCAGTTGAAAATATTTTCTCTGCATCTTTCCCAGAATCCCTAAGGAACTTGCCGTTGTGAATTCATTTCTATGGAACTTCTAATGATGTTTTTATCATAGGCAGAGAGCGGGATTCTCCAGTGACTGGAAGTGTGGGCTTTGTGATCAGAGGCGCTTGGATTTGAGTTCAGCCTCACCACTCCCTAGCTTTGTGACTTGGGCTGCTGTATTAGCTTTTCTAAG